TCCCATGTTCATAACTGTGTATATGTTTCATCTTGTGTTCTGCTTGCGACTGATGAGAACAATCGAAATGTTAACATACCACAATTTACATCTCTCTCTACTTTAATGAAATGGCTGTTTACTATCCTTGAACGTAACCAGCCAAGTTGTATTGGCGACGCTCCTCATTATCACTGATGATTCAGACACTGTCTGTCACCACTTTGCCTACAAATCCTTGTAACCGCTCGTTATCGGAATCAGTCAGAACAGTGCATGAAAATCACTTATTGTCCGGGCATGGTATTCCATTAACGCAATCAGTCCGCCGACTGACTCTTCCGCGCTAACTCATTCGATGTTTCATATAAATCTTGCTTACACCGTATAGTAGTAACACTGTACTTTTTGTTTCCATCAAGTTCGGTTCTATTTCTGAACTTCTTGTTTGATGTCCTAAGAGGTATTACGTTTTGTATAAGACTATTATGATTTTCAATCCCAGAATTTTAGTGAACATATCTACGGTCAAACGTAACATTTTTAACCGAAATGAAGTTTATTTAAATGGACACATTTCTTTGCCAATGGGAAATAATTTTATTTATTACTACTGAATAAAATTTCCTAGTTCTGGTAGCGATGAACTCGTCTAATACTTTTCAGTATATCCTTGGCTTGTAAGACATTGCTCCCGGAGGAAGTTATTCAAGCGCCTGAAAAACTGATAATCGGCAGGCGAGAGTATGGCCCCTTTATCTTGACCGATTCTGAACATGTGTTGAAGTTTTCGTTGCATTTCGGCAATTTGTTGATAGTATTTCGCCGTAATGGTTTCTCGTAAATCCAGAAAGCTGTCAAGGATTAGAATTGCCGTAGACCACCAGCCAGTCACCATAACGATTTTGGGTGCACTTTCGGGTTTGGAAATTGTTCTGGAGTTGATTGTGGTCCAACCACTTGGCAGTGGGTTTTCGATTGTTTTAACACTTCAACTTCCTGTTGAGAAACGGGTCTTTTTTATTGCGCAGAACAACAGCAAGCAACACTTCAAGACGATGATTTCTTTGGTTTATATTCAAATCGTGCGGCACTCACTTCTTAGGCTTTTTCAACATTCCAATCTCCAGTAAATTTTTAAAAACGGTCACATTCCATACTGCTGAGTCAAAAACTAGATCCGTGTAGTTTTATGAGGATCCGCTCCAACTAAGGCTCATAATTAATCGTTGTTCACTTCCGTTGGCTGTCCACAATACTCTTCATCTTCGAGCCTCTCGTAAACTTTTCGAAGTTGCTGCGCAGTTCGGTCAATAGTGGTTCCAAGACCAAATGCACTGCTGATGTCACGAGCTGTTTCCGCTACATTTCGATCCAGTTTAAATTGGAACAATAAACTTGTGCGAGTTTGTCCTCTGTCCATGTCGCATTAATTGTTCTATAAAAGTGTAAAAACGTTTTCTGCCTAAACCATCACGATTGATAGAACGAAAACGCGTTTCAAAATGATAAATAGGGTCGAGACAATGTTTAAAAAAATTATTCAAAACTAAAGCTGTTAAAACTAAGGTGTCAAAAGCCGCAGTAACTTTGTTCAAAACCCACCACATAAATCTGCCTTGTGTATGCTCGTTGAACCCGGCGTAATTGGGGTTCAGCTGCGATACCAGTCGGCTAATGACCGACACGTTTATATGCTTGACTTGTACTCCGGAGGTCACCGGTGCGAAATCGCGTACATGAGGGTATCTCGCGTTTATACGCAACTTTCCTGCGGCTGTTGGTGGTCTTGTGACAGCAACGTGTCCCGGCGAGCTGCTGTCTTTTCAATATGCGATACTACTACCTGTGGTGTATACCATACGTGGTGGCATCTTAGTCGGTAGCTGTGATGACTACCCCGTTCTCATTTCCATTAGTCAATACACCCGCTTGTGAGAGCATTTTCAGCAATTGACACTAACATTGCGGACATACAGAAAATTGGTGGGAAAATAATGCGGTGTGACAAGAAAAACAGAAGGGTTCATTTTCAAACAAACAGTCTCGCATTTTGATGCATTTTATAACTTTTGAGTCGACTAACAAGAGAGACAAATAGGACAAGCTGAAGTTGCAATGCAACGACGTACGGGGAATTGAAAGTTTAAATTTCGACCGCGTGGAGGAAATGGATGCGGTGCTTGCTAAAACTGTGTAGGCGGTGAGATGAGTTCTTTAGAATGTTGGATGAGAATTTAAATCATGCGTCAAAATGCTTGCTAATCACAAACTCAACGAGGGCTTCTCTGCTTAATCCAGAACATCTGGGAATAAATTTTAGTGATCGGATGAGAAACGTATAGCGCTTTTGAGGAAATCCGAGGAACAGTACAGCCAATGGGGAGAATACATGCATCTACAAACCGTAGTTAGAGCATGCGGCACGGGGATCACTTTGAAGCGAATATGAAAAAATGATAGTTTTCTGACTTGATTCAAGCCTCCAGAATGTGTCGACTACAATAAATTGTAGATCAAAAAACACCGAGGATACTTTATGGAATATGTACGAAGGATGCTTTGGTCGCTGACGACCAAAGAATGAGAGGCATTTAGGAAAGAACGCAGTCTGTCAGGATGAGGTAGAGATAATCTGATATCACACGACTTAGAAGGAAATGGGAGCTTGACCAAGTCAAACGTGTTCCTCTAATCCTCGTGCAACTTCGAAGATTCTTCAATTACTGGGGTTATACACCCTAGGACGACTTTGTCAGCGTAGTTACGGCCGATGAAATTGGTTGGTAAACATAAAAGAGGATGGAATAGCTCCTTGCAAGACCTCACAATTGGCCGGGATTGCAGAAGATGTACCGCATAAATGCGTGAAGTATGTGAAGTACATTACATACGTATTGGGGAACGCCGTTTTCATACAAACGTTTCAGTAGTAGCCATCCGTCAAGGTTCTCAAAGGCATTCATATAAAAGAACATATAATCAAAGAACAAAGAACATTTTTTATCCAGCGCGGGTGCAATGGAAGGCACAAGATGCGAAACGGCGTCCAATGTAGAGTGCTCCGACTTGAATGCAAATGGTTTGATATCATGTTTATGATTGCTTGTAAAAATTCGGGGAATTAGTGGCTTTTAAGGCGGCTGCAACACGGAGGTGCACGCTATTCGCCAATAGCTATGTGATTCCTTCTTAAGCACCGGTGTTATTCTGGCTCCCTTCCAGATGTTGTGGATCTTGTCATTTGTTAAATATCGGTTGAAAATCTTTGTTAGAGGTGAATGTAATGCTCGTTTGTTGCGATTCTCAGCCAGTGTATGTTTGAAACCGGTACCCAGTTGAATCGGAACCACACCAGTTAGTCTCGTAGTAGTAATGCTACCTATTCAACTCCAGGTTTTATCAGAGGCTGGGAGGGGATTCGTATCTATCGCCATACGAGATGTATCATTTTGACCATTCTCCTTAAACGAGCTACCGATTCGCTTAAGAGATTTTTATTACCCTACTCACTTTGTTTCCCAATGTTGTTCACACAACCTTAAGAATGCTCTTCTTTTCTTCTCGTTGACACGAATATGTTTCCAATGCACTCCAGGTTCCCTGCCTCTAGCGTTAGGTCCTTTGGTTTCTTCCCACTTTCGTACTTATCATCCCCGCTGGGTCTGCGCGCTTGCGCTTTTATTGATTTTGGATTGACTTAGAAGTGTGTCATTTTTAATCGACGTTTGTAAGCAGGCGTTACAGTACTGTGTTTGCCTCTGGACGACACGCTGCAATTTTACTGTGCGTATTCGCCCTTTCCCGTACCATACGTGATGGATAGATGACAGCCAGTGTCTTTCAAACGCATTTCTTGCCACACTGCCCTCACACTTCTGTCCCTTGTTACCACACACACAATGCCGCACACACACACACGTTCCCATGTGCACGCCTACATGTGCAAGGCTTACTGTCCGGTCGTTGACGAACTGGTGAATCATCAGCTTGCCTACTGCCCCCGTAGGACCTTTTTAAGATCGGATCAGTTGACATCGGACGTAGCTTTGCCCCATATAATCTCGCTGTGTTCAGTGTGCATCTTCTGGCAACGTTGCTCTGCTCCACCCCCCTGCATCGAGCCCCTATAAGGAAGAACTTGTCTATCTTCCTGTCTTCGAAATTTGGTGGAGCGAAACGTTATATTCTCCTAGATTTGCACTGGCTTTGTTGCGGTTTTTTCTCCACTTGTTTATTTATCGCACATAAATGGCTCAATTTTTAAAAAATCCTTTTATCTGCTGTTCCCACTGAGCGTCGCATTTTTCGGCTAGCGGAAACAGATTGTTCCGCTTCCGGTAGCAACTTTTTCCGTGTATTAGCTTTTGCTTTGTTTCTTAGTTCTGTCTTTTGACCCCACAATACTCCAGGGGCATTCAATTTGAGCGACTGTTGTATGTCATCAAGCCAATTGTTTTCGGTGACATTCAACCGACCTGTTCTTGCCGCCACCTTCCATGATTATCTTTCCGATTTTTCTCATTGTTTACCTCAATAGAACGAATTCTGTTGAGCACATTTACACTGTACAATGGTATGTGTTGTCTCTGCTCCACAAGGCTGCTGCATATTTCGCACCCGGATTTCCACTGTATTACCCCAGCTACTGCTGTTGATCACACTTCAATGTGCGAAACATTTTGTGCTGCGTGATTCATCACTTTTGTTTTCTAGTTGTCATATCAAATTAAGGCCTTCCCTCAGAGGAATAGGACTTCACTTGTCTGTTTTTCAACATCGGAGTAGCACGTGTTCACTTACGAATTCCTTGGAGGGATAGTTTCTTCCCTTCATCTCAGGTCTTGGATACCGACCAACCGACTCTGTACTGATGGTTGAATACCACTATATCCTATTGTCGCACATTTACGCACATATCTATATAGGCATCATGCATTCACGCGTTTTATTACCCTTTCGTTCTTCTTATGCTCTTGTTGCTACTTCTTTTCTACCCTCTAGGCTTCTTCTTTCAGCAGCATGACCGACTCAACCATGTCTTTGAACGTGATTACCGTGACCTTGAATATGGACACAGTAAACTTTCTTGGTATCAGCATCGTAGGTCAGTCAAATAAAGCGGGAGACGGCGGCATTTACGTCGGTTCTATCATGCGGGGTGGGGCCGTTGCCCAAGACGGTCGCATAGAGCCCGGAGACATGATTTTAGAAGTAAACAATATCAGTTTTGAAGATATGAGCAATGATGAAGCCGTTCGAGTGTTACGAGAGGAGGTACAGAAACCGGGGTACGTTCCACATGCCGATGTGTTTGCTGCTTACTTTTGTCTTTCTAGCCATCTTCACCTTACTCATTTACTCGTGACCATGATTCAACGCCAACTGACTCGACGTGCATATTTCAAGGTTTCAGAGTTGTTTCACACGGTTGTCAATAATCTGGCGTTTGTACTCATCGGAACGTGGCTAGTTTGTGTCCTAAAATCATTTAATTTCGGACTTCTCTTTCTTTCTGTAACACATGTTTCTTGCCATTATGCAGTATGGCTGTTCCCACCGTGTTTACACTTTTGCCGCAACACTTGTTCTCCATCTGTTTCAGTTTATTTACGAAGTGAGATTTATCTGCCATGTTCTGCGGCTGCGTTGGTTTCCATTTTTCCTTTACGCCAACGCTTTGATCCACATTTGCGCCTTAATTTAAAATTGCCGAATGTATCCCACTTACACCTTAATAATGATAGTATTAATAATATTAGTAGTTTATTCTCCTTTTTCACGCGACAGACCTGGCAAAACTTGATCGAAGAGTGACAAGCACTTGCAAACAGGCCGATCACCATTCGATCGAGAAAATAATGGTTGATGCAGAGGTTTCCGGAGAAAAAAATCTTCCACTAGGAACAAAGTTGCATAAGGGGGATAAAAAGCTGTAAACGAAATGCATCTCATAGTGTCACTGCATTTGCTTATTCGTCAATTTTAAATCAGTCGATGCTTTCAGAATAGGCCGGATAATCGACCACAATGAAGAACTCCATCATAGTTTGCTCACCTTTGAAGAAGACTTGCCAGTGTATTAGCTCTCAACAGAGGCATTACCCATTGTTACCTCACTGTAACTCGTAATGCACAAGGAAAACCATGAGATCGTAACGTGGACACTGTACCTGATTAGTTGGCGACGTTTAACCCACACCTTTTGCTTGATTTGGTTTCTGCTATGCGGATGAAGACCAGGGCATCTGTCACTCATCACCAATGCCGAAGTTTTTCATGGTTTTACCAAATATCTCTGTTTTCACACCGGTTCACTTGGTTGTGATTGACTTCCCGTCGCCTGTCCTACGCTAAACATACATCATAACATCATACAGCCACCGTGGCACCACTCTGTTTTGATATATCTGTATGTCAAAGGCGATTGGCCAGAATACATTAACATATCACTTTATGTTCTGTATATCATCCCATTTGAAAGCAAGCATTGCGCAGGGATAGCGATAGCATTTCATAAGCTCTAGTACTGAGCGCCCCCGATTTTTTAAAGGCGATCAGTCCTGTTTCATCACCAGCAAGAGTGTATTTGTATCTGAAGTTTCCTGTTCCGTTGCTCAGAGTCACTTTCATAAATGACTTCCATCTTCCTACGTAACGTGATCCACCGACAAACAATTAGACACATGAGAAAGAAAATGGATAATGGTAATAGTTTTTGAATAATTGCTCTCACAAATGTTCTCGCCATGTTCACTTTGAACGACAGTTATCGTACAAGCATCGCCACATTAAAACTTGCAAAACCGATTTGCACTTAACATTCTCCCGAATATGAATTCTCAACTGGTTGCAAACATATTTCGAGATGTTGCATCAAACTGATCGCTTTTTAAGCCAAACTGGGCACAGTTAACTTTTTCCCTAGAACATTATCAGTTTATTAACAAAGAAGCAAATAACAACGTTAAAGACTGCGCTACTGCTGAAGTTATCGATTTCATCAGTGCACTGAAGACACAATTCTTACAGTTAGGCTGTGTTACCATGCCGCTAGTGTAAACTCTCGGACACCAACGTAGCTAGACTCAAGGCCTGTGTTCACCATTTAATGTCACGCAGCTGAGGCTCCCCCCTCCTGCTTATTCTTCAACTTGTGTTGTAGGTGATCATTTAAGTCGGTTTCTTTCTATGCTGCTCCGCCATGTACACTATTTTTGGATGTCATCTAATCCCGCGATAGGTGTTTATTGCGTGTAATGCGTATCGTCACTTTCTGTCATTTGTGACTTACAAGTGACATACTGGATCTCAACTGGTTGCTCTTAACCGTGGATTACACTTGAATCATTACGAAATGAATCCCTTTATCGCAGCAACCAAGAGTAGAACATTTACGATTTTGGTTTTTACATCACTTGAACGTGTGGGCCCAGCTCAGTTGCTTGTCTGTTTATTGATGATTATCCGCGGGGTGTGGGATTCTGTGGTCCGCCTCTAAGAACTCGACTAGAGCTCGGTACCGAAATGCGTGTTTCAAATCGTTCATCTAGCAACGAAGCTGGTTTTACATTGTCTTGCTTGATGAATGACGTGTCATCCAATATGTTTGCGCTCAAATGAGTGGAAGGGAAAGCGAGTTGTGTCTGCCGAGCCATGCGCCAGTGCTGACCATTTTGACTGCTATTTGTTCGTTATTAGATATACTACTCATAAGTAGTCTGATGTCGCAATTACTATTCCATCTCGGCCCTCCATCCACTTAAATGGGGATAATATTCTGAGACGCTTTCCGTTTCTTCTGTTACAACTAGCCTAGAGCTCCGTTTGTTGAAGTCGATTTCCTGGTCAGACAGCTCTGAGGAGAATGGTAACTATTGCACCGCTCCATGATGACCCTCAGCTGGTTGCATAACCGCCACTAAGCTACTCATATTCTTAGATTGCTCCCATTGCATCTCTAGTGGGCATCAACGCCCATGCGGCTCGTTCAGAACTTACACGTTATCGCGTCGTTCCGGTTATCATGTACCGCGTGATGTCACTTTTCCGTTGATTATGCCGGAGTGACACTTGTTCGGCTTATTCTTCGCCATGTGCACGCTTGTACGGTGCCTAATTACTCAATACCTCTTGTTTCATAGCTTAAAAGATCATTGATAGCCCATTTCGGATTGGTGGCATATTCATGTGGCCTCCTGCTGGGCGCATGGATGGGTCCTCGCATGGAATATGCTGCAGCCTAACCACCATCTGTGTGCCTAATGCGTCGACCTTATTTTCACACAATTCTGCATGAGCGCATATACCACTGCGTGCCTCTTTGTGTAGGTAGTCTCTGGACTGGTCTTTAGCTTACGTGTTACCAGTTTCCTCGTCTTCTCATATGTCTACTAGAGATGCGATGGGTGAGTGGAGCTGTTGGCGACATGTTGCAACCCACTACTGGTTCTATCTTGGGTGCAGACATCTTGCCGTTGTTTTCATTCACTATGCCAGGCAACTACAGCAACGCATATTGCTGACTGCTACCACAGCGGTCCTGGTTGCAGTGTGATTAGCACTTTCGCATAGGATCAAAAACAAACACGCATATACGCAGCTATTACAGCTGCATCCAAAAGAATACTGGATATCGCGAATCACCTACAGGTTACACTCATTTCCTCATGCAAGAACTAATCGGGCAGCCTGAATCATCTAGTAGCTGCATTCTGGGCGTAATGGCAATGACATTTAACTTAGCCACTGGTTGGTATTCCGGGCCCGTCTCTGTCTACACAAAGACTGGGGCACGCTTGGTTAAAAACATTAAACTGTATGGCTCAGAATCGTACTTAATGGTGAACGTGTTGCGAGATTCACGTCCCTTGACAGTTCTCTTTATATTTTATCTAGTGTTATGGTATTTTGCTGGCTGTTATGTAGAACGAGTGACACACACACACACACATATATATATATATATATATATATGTGGTTGGCGGTATCCGGTTTCGGATTTCCCTGTCCCTGTGGCCTCCACAGGACGCCTGCGCCTACAGAGGGACCATGGATGACTTGCGCTACACCACCCACAGCTCCATCTACACACCCCATATCCAGTGTAAACCCTAAGACCGGCAGGCATGTGGATGGGAGCCACGTTTCATCAACGGAGCCGGCCCGAACTCCTTCACAGGCAAACACAAGCACGCTGTATTTGGGAATCAAGCGCACGCAATGCGGTGGATGGACCGTAGTCTGCTCCACACTGAGTGCATGGAACCACTCTTTGATCCTAACACGGCCACAAGGACCGTGCACCCCGTCCCCTCCAGCAACGACCAACTGTCTCCTGGAGCCAGTTTGGACGAGGTAGCGGGTACCAGACAGGTAGGCACCTTGTCAACATGCACCTCAAGCGCAGCCACATTGGGGATATCAGGCAACAGCCAATCACTTGAAACGACAATTTCAAATTAACCAAATCGCGTAATGCATACAGATATGCCGACATAGCTCTATACTAAATGAACATGTGAAATAAATTGGTTACCAAAAGTGCGCTATAGTTTCAAGACGTCAGGAAATATATTTTAAGAAAACGCTACAAACCTAAAAATGTTATCAAAATTAACTACAATTAACTTGGGCGACGTGTGCAAGTTAATAGATAATTCATGTAGGGAACAATGAAACAATTTAGCAAACCCAAAACCTGAAATAAAGTGACCCAGCATGCAAGCAAGCAGTTAGTAATTTGAATGCAGCCTACGTACAAACGTTGCACCGGTTCTGCCTACGTTCTCTGCAGGACCCCTCGTCGCTTCGGTGTTGGCTTTGAATGGCCTCTCTCATTGCTCACTAGGCCTGCCTGACTCAAGCACTCGCGACCGCATGTGCTACAGCACCATGCGCTCGATGTCGATGGAGTACAACCTATCGGCGCCTGCCGCTTCCGCACTTGCCGCTTCTCCTCCACATGCATGAAGTCTGTCTCCTGCACCTTGGCAACTGCCTTCGTGATTAGATCGCGCCATGCACGCCAGTCATCCGCCTTCGATTCCCATGACCTGCAGTCAAGATTAGAACGTGAGAGGCTCACTTTAATCATGTCCTGGTAACGAAGCTTCGGTTTCCCAACATGCTGCTTCTCAATACTCAGCTGACCATATAAGAGTTGTTTCGGTATCCGCGTCGAATCCATACGACTCACATGACCGATCCACCTCTGGTGTCTCAGAGAAAGTATGCAGTCCACTGCATAGGTTCCACTTCGGCGCAACACTTCCGTGTCAGCAACATTGTCTCCCCAAGTGATGCGCAAAATTCATCGCAAACACTGTTGATGGAACCGCTTGACATATCACACATCCTGCCGGTACATCGTCCACATTTCACTGCCGTATTGAAGAACGGACAGCACCATGGATTTGTACATCATCAGCTTCGTGCCAATGGTAAGCTGATGGTTGTTCCACACCCGGTACTGAATGCCACTGCTGTCTTCGAGACGTGGATACGAAACTCACTGTGAACCTGCTGGTCAGTCGACATCACGCTTCCAAGGTAGCAGAAGCAGGAGGTGGTTTCCAGTACTTCAGCACCAATGCTGATTCGCAGCAATATTGAAGATTGCACCTCCGGTGAAGGCTGAAAGAGACAGACAGTTTTACTTGTGTTGATGGTGAGTCCGAATTTGGCCGCTGTCGAAGCCAGAGCACTAGTCATGTGCTGCAACTCATCCGCGCTGTGTGAAAACAACGCACAGTCGTCAGCAAACAGCAACATACGGATAGTTGTCTCACGGACTAGAGTTCTCGCACCGAAACGACGGATGTTCAGCAACCCACCATCAATACGGTGCTCCACACGAACACCGTAAGCACAAGCCGCATCAAAAGCACAAGACAACATTGCATGAAGATATATATTAAACAGGGCAGGAGCTAAGACACAGCCTTGCTTTACACCAGAGACAACTGCAAAGTCATCTGAAGTCTCTCCACTCAGCTGCACCCTCGCTCGCATACCACTGTGCAGACATACAATTAAACTTACAAACTTACGCGGGCAACCAAACTTACCCAACACCAGTCACAATGCCTCGCGGTTCACCGTATCAAATGCCTTGGTGAAATCAACAAAAAGCGAGTACAATGGCTGGTGTCGTTCTCTGCAGTTCTCTTGCAACTGACGAGCCGCAAACACCATATCTATAGTGCTGCGACCCGAACGGAATCCACACTGCTCTTCCGCCACGTTAGGTTCCACAATCTGACTCACGAAGCGATTGAGCAGGATTCGGGCAATCACCTTGCCCACACAACTCAGCAAGTTGATGCCACGATAATTCGTGCAACATTGCTTGCTACCTTTGCCCTTGTACAGTGGTAGCACAAGGGCATCCTTCAGCTCAGGAGGCACCTCCTCCTCAATCCACATGCGTTGCACCAAGTGGTGCAGCGCAGTCAACAACGCGGGTCCACCGTGTTTCAATACTTCAGGTGGGATCCCGTCACCTCCAGGACATTTGCCGTTTCGCAGCTGAGCAAGTGCTCTCTGCGTCTCATCCAGTGTCGGCGTATCCGCCAGATCCGCCTTCACATCGTGCTGCTTCAGGCCGTTCAATGTAGGCCAGTCGATCTCTGAACGGTTGTTCAAGAGACAGTCAAAGTGTTTCCGCCAGACCTGCATTATGTCTGCAGTCTGGGTGCAGGTAGCGCCTGAATTACCATCGATCAGTGTCCTCAGCAGCTCCAATCTCGGTCCATACACCGCCTTCAAGGAGTCAAAGAATTCCTTGTGTTGGCGGCGTTCGGCGTAGCATTCCATCTGCTTCGCCTTCTCCGTCCACCATGCATTTTTAATGCGACGGAGCTCTCGGGTCAGTCGCCGTCGAAGTTTGCGAAACTGACTCTTCTTCCCCAAGTCACTGGGGTCTGCAGCATGTGCAGCAAATGCTGCATTCTTCTCCGACACCAATGCGCCGATCGTCGCATTGTTGTCATCAAACCAATCAGGCCGCTTACAGTTTGCGCGCCCAATGGTCTCCTCGGCAGCAGCTGTCACCTGATCGCGAATGTGGTGCCACAGGTCGCCCACTGTGGCTATGCAGTCCACATCACACAGGCTGCAGCCATCGCCTTCTCCAGCTCAGTACGTTTCGCCACAGTACCGAGGGAGAGAATGTTAAATTTACGCCGATTCACGGCGGGAGTGCAATACATAGATTTACGAAAATATATGTACAGTTTGGTGCGCACCAATTTGTGATCAGGGCCACACTCAGCTCCACGCAGTACACGTGTCATGCGCACTTCACGCATATCACGCTGACGTACGATGACATAGTCGAGCAGGTGAGCGTGACCACTCCGTGGGTGCGTCCAAGTTGCTATATCACTCGCACTCAGTGCAAACCGAGTGTTCGTGATCGTCAGGCCGTGATTGGCACACAGTGAGAGCAGCCTGTCACCGTTCGCATTCGCTGAACCAATGCCATGCGCACCGATAACATCTGTCCACGCTGATGCATCACGCCTAACGCGCGCGTTGAAATCACCCAGCAGAAATAGTCGGTCGCTCCTCGGCACAGACCGTATCACGGAGGATAGCTCAGTGTAGAACTGATCACGCTTGTCATCAGGATAACTCATGGTCGGACCGTACGTGCTTATAAAAGTAGCAAACTTACCTCTTCTGAGTCGTAGGCGAACAGTCATCAGTCGCGCGCTGATGCCCGTTGGTTCACCCACCAGCTGGCCATTCAGACGATCGGATATTGCAAATCCGACCCCATGTTCACGTGGTGCTGAGGCGGCGTTCCCCACCCAATAGAATGTGTAGCCAGCACCTGCTTCATGTAACTTACCTTGCTCAGCGAGCCGAGTTTCACTGAGCGCCGCAATATCGATGTGGTAGCGCGCCAGCTCCATCGCGACCAGTGCAGTGCGTCGCTCCGGGCGCTCGCTCGAGTTCCGGTCCAGTAGTGTGCGCAAGTTCCAGCACCCGATGCTGAGTGCTTTGCGCGCAGGCATACGATTGCATTGGTGGGCAATCGCACGCGAGGTGGTCGTTGTGCTTCGGAGGTTTGCTTGAGGGACTCCACCCGGAGCCTTTGGCTCAATAGCCTGACCCACAAGGCAGTGGGTGGTTTTGGAGGTTTGCTTGAGGGACTCCACCCGGAGCCTTTGGCTCAATAGCCTGACCCACAAGGCAGTGGGTGGTTTGGAGGTTTGCTTGAGGGACTCCGCCCTGAGCCTTTGGCTCAATAGCCTGACCCACAAGGCAGTGGAGAGCAGATCCAGCTCGGGAATGTGATTGCAGAGACAGATTGGGATCTGCTTGACGGCGGTCACACGCAGCCTTTGAGGTTCCGGAACAATTATGATATGTTTTGCGACCGTAATAGGATACGCACCTGCGACCACGGCCAGACGCAGGTGGGTTTTTGGCGGGTTTGCACCAATTTGACCAGGGGCTGCCTGGCTTGAGGCGGGCAGCAGCAAACCATTGAACACCCGGAGGTGTCCTCCCACCGTCAGAGACAATGCGTGGCACTCGTGCTCTACGCCAATCGAGCATTGAGAATATCACCCGTAAACCTGTTGTCTCCCATGGCTAGGTTTTACGGGAAGTGGGCCATCGACCACTTCCTAACCTCCGGAGAGGATGGACTAGGATACTGGCAGGGCGCCCAATCCTGACAGGAGAACGACTCGGGTCCTCAGCCAAAGCCTTCGATTAAATGAACACCCGAAAGGCAGCGGGTCTAGCACATGGTCAGTTAGCCGACTCATGCGGATTGTTGTCCTGGATCTTAGCAGGGAGAAGGGCGAAACCCAACTCCCACCCAGCGGTCGCCACGAGGAGGCGCCCAGGACATGAGACTATGGCGCAGCAGTAGCAGCAGTGGGTAGACCATCTGTCAGGATCTAGCCACCACCAGCCCCAGCGCACCATAGGCTCTCCCGCCGCTCGTGTATATATATATATATATTATATATATATATATATAACCACAATCTGATTACATATAATGTCTACGGCACAGAAGAAGGAACTGAACCGCTCAGCACCGTCATTTCACGCACCAGGCTCCGATGGCTGGGCCACGTGTTGCGCATGTCAGCCCACCGACTTCCACCACGTGCGTTGTTTACTCGCCGGGGATGTGGATGGAAGAAGAGGAGGGGTGGTCAAGCGATGACTTGGTCCAGAGGAATGAAGACCCTCACTTCGGAGCTTGTCTCGGTTGGAGCTTCACGGCTCCCTGGTTGGGGTCCAAAAGATGATGAACACGTTTGGCTGGATACACTTGCTGACATGGCAAGGAGCCGACCTCAGTGGCATACCTGCTGTTAGTTTCTTTGTCCCTTCCCATCCCTTTTAGCCTCCCCTCCAAAAACGATCTCATTTCTTAGCGTAAAACAATTTTTCTTTTTACCTAGTAGCCGGCTGGTAACTTTCCAGAATGATGCACATCTGTTGCTGGTAGCTCAGCTGGCATGCAACCGTTGTATTTATTTTCCTTTTCCTATATGTATTGCGGCACAGTAGCTGAGGTGTTTCCAACCTCTAGCTGACGTGTGTAATGATGATGGTGATGAATGTGCCCCATGCTGAGGCTGATGTTGCATTCTTGATGCTTCTTCACCGCAGTTGAGCTAAACCAACGTACACTTAAACTAGGTCTCTTTAAGCTGCATAAATTTCATTCCAGCTTATTTGGTTTGTTTTGCCTATCTGGATAGTCTTCTGTTAGCTGGCCACGTTGTTTACGCTAATTGCGCTTACCTTCGGTAATTTTGTTGCGTTTGTAGCATTTTTGAGTAACTTGTGGACATTCTTTTTCCTTATCCCGGATTCATTGCTAACCAACTTACTTCATATGCTAATTTAGCGAAGAGTTATGCCACCGTATCTGTATGCATTGTTGGATTTATTTCATTTTGTCGTTTCAAGTGATTGGTTGTTGCTTGATATCCCCGATGTGGCTGCGCTTGATGTGCATGTTGACAAGGTGCCTACCTGTCTATTACCCACTACCTCGTCCATACTGGCTCCAGGAGACAGTTGGTCGTTGCTGGAGGGGACGGGGTGCACGGTCCTTGTGACCGTGCTAGGCTCGAAGAGTGGTTCCATGCAGTCAGTGTGGAGCGGACTACGGTCCAGCCACCGCCTTGTGTGCGCTTGATTCCCCAAATACAGTGTGCTTGTGTTTGCCTGTGAAGGAGTGTGGGCCGGCTCCGTTGATGAAACGTGGCTCCCATCCACATGCCTCCCGGTCTTATTCCTTCGGATTTACACTGGATATGGGGTGTGTGGTTGGAACTGCGGGTGGTGCGGCGCAAGCCACCCATGGTCCCTCTGTAGGCGCAGGCGTCCTGTGGCTTGCCACGGTGACAGGCAAATCCGAAACCGGATGCCGCCAACCATAGCTTGCAATTGTACGGCTTTGCCTCTGATCAAAAGACTTGTGTAGACACTTTTTTCGTCACCCTCCGGGACACGTTGCTAATTGAATATTTTACATCTGCGGGTGACTTATCACGGGCGACCGCACTCACATTGGTTGATCGGCAGCAAGGAGCAAAGTGGTTCGTTTTTCCACATTTGGCGCAACTCCGATTCCGCGCCGGACACTGTTCGCGTGAGTTCGGGTGTCGCGCGGTGCAAAATTTAGACATCTGTCTCACGTTAGAAGCTTTCGCTGCGTCGCATCCGGAAACGGCACACAACTCCGCATCAGTTACGAGTTTCATTGTTATCAGTGTCACACTCAGCTCCACGCAGTATACGTGCCATGCGCACTTTACGCACATCACGCCAACGTACGTTGACAAAGTCGAGCGGGTGAACTTAACCACTCCGTGGGTTCGTCGAAGTAGCAATCACTCGTGCGCAGTGCAAACCGAGTGTTCGTGATCGTCAGGCCGTGCGTGGTACAGTGTGAGAGCAGCCCGTCACTGTTCGCATTCGCTGGACCAATGCAATGTTGACCGATAACATCTGGCCACACCGATGCATCACGCCCCACGCGCGCGTTGAAATCACACAGCAGGAATACTCGGTCGCTCCTTGGCACAGACCGTATCACGGAGGATAGCGGTGTAGGATTGATCACGCGTGTCATCAGGATCACCTATTGTTGGACCGTACGTGCTAACAAAAGTGGCAAACCTTCCTCTTGCGATTCGTAGGCGAACAGTCATCAGTCGCGCCCCGATGCCTGTTGGTTCACTCGCGAACTGGCCATGGAGACGATCGGATATTGCAAATCCGATCCTATGTTCACTTGGTGCTGAGGCGGCGTTGCCCACCCAGTAGAATGTGTAGTCAGCACCTGCTTCATGCAACTTACCATGCTCAGCGAGCCGAGTTTCACTGAGCGCCGCGATATCGATGTGGTAGCACGCCAGTTCCATCGCGACGAGTGCAGTGCGTCGCTCGGGGTGCTCACTGGAGTTCTGGTGCAGTAGTGTGCGCATGTTCCAGCACCCGCTGATGAGTGCTTTGCGCGCTGGCATACGATTGCGTTGGTGGGCAATCGCGCTCGAGGTGATCGTTGCTCATCGGATGTTTGCTTGGGGATTCCACCCGCAGTCTTTGGCTCAATAGCCTGACCCATAAGGCAATGGGGAGCAGATCCAGCTCGGGAATGTTATTGCGGAGACAGATTAGGATCTGCATGACGGCCGTCGCACGCAGCCTATGAGGTACCGGAACGAATCATATACGTTTTGCGACCGTAGTAGGATAGGCACCTGCGACTACGGCCAGACGCAGGTGGGTTTTGCCGGGTTTGCACCAATTTGACCAGGGGCTGCCTGGCTTGACGCGGGCAGTAGCAAACCGTTGAACACCCGGAGGTGCCCTCCCACCGTCAGAGACAATGAGTGGCGCTGGTGCTCTTCGCCAATCGAGTGGTGAGCTTATAACACGTAGACTTGTTGTCTCCATGGCTAGGTTTTACGGGAAGAGGGTCATCGACCACTTCCTAACCTTCGAAGAGGATAGACTAGGATATTGACATTTCGTCACACCTGACAGGAGGACGACTCCGTCCTCATCCAAAGCCTTCGATTAAACGTACACCCGAAAAAGTGCTCAGTTCACTGACTCATGCGGATTGGTGTCCCGGGTCTTAGCAGTGCGAAGGACGTAACCCAACTCCCACACAGCGGTCACCACGAGGAGGCGTCCAGGACATGGGACTACACAACAATAGCAGCAGTGTGTAGACCATCTGTCAGGATGTACTCACCACCAGCCTCAGCACCCCATAATCTCTCTCGCCATATGTATTCACACACACATATATATATATATATATATATATATATATATATATATATATATATCTGCTGGGACTGATGTTGCATTCATGACACTTCTTCACCGCCTTTGGGCTTAACCAACTTACACTTCAACTCGGTCTTTTTAAACTGGATGAATTTCGTTCCACTTCATTTTGTTTGTACTGCCTACCTGACTGACCTTCTATTAACCGGCCACCTTGCTTACGGTAATTGTGGTTATCTTCGTTAACTATATTGCGTCAGTAGCATTTTTTGAGTAAATTCTGGACATTTTGTACTTATCGCGGATTGACTGCCAACCAACTTACTTCATATGCTAATTTAGGGAAGTGTTATGTCTGCATAGCGGTATTCTTTAACAGATATATTTTATGTGATAATGTAATCTCAAGTGGTTGGCTGTTGTTTAACATCCTCGGTGTGGCTGCGTTTGATTTGCATGTTGACAAGTTGCCTACCTGTCTTACCCACTACCTCGTCCATACTGGCTCCAGGAGACAGTTGGTCATTGCTGTAGGGGACGGGGTGTACGCTCCTTGTGGCCGTGCTAGGCTCTAGGAGTGCTTGCATGCACTCAGTGTGGAGCGGACTACGGTCCATCCACCGCCTTGTGTGCGATCGATTCCCAAATACAGCGTGCTTGTGTTTGCCTGTGAAGGAGTGTGGGCCGGCTCCGTTGATGAAACGTGGCTCCCATCCACATGCCTGCCGGTCTT